TTTAAGTGTTACTTATGGCAGTCGAGATCATAGATAGTTGTGTTTTCGAATATATTAATACTTAATTTTGATAAAGGTAGTCAAATCTTTTGTCAGGTTGAAGGCTCCTCGACGCATCCAAGTGGCCGACGGGTATTCAAATGCCCGCATTGTCCATTTTGGGCATCTACCGCAAGTCGTTTTCATGTTCATATTGTCGGTCATTTAAATCGGAAGCCATTCGAGTGTTCCCTATGCGCGTATCGCTCTAACTGGCGATGGGACATCACAAAACATATTAAACTTAAAGCAGCTAAAGATCCAGTTCATATGACTGCCAGAGTACTTATGACGGATGAAACAGGTCGACGGAATTATTCCAAATATAACAAATATCTTGCACAGGTGAAAGCACAAATTTCACTTACATTTAAACAATTCTTTTAATAGTGCAAAAAAAAAGTGCTTGTCAATTTTTATAGGCGCACTGATTTTTTTCGATACTACTTTATAATGAATTTTTTTTCTGTGACAAGCACGTGTGATGATCCTTATTATATAATAATTAAATTAAATAATTAAAGTAAATAATTAAAAAAACTAAATTTAATATAATATTTAAAAAAAATGAAAGATTATAATATATTCAAAATATATTCAAAATATTTGAAGCGCTTGGACACTTGATTGGTGTTATGATATTAATCTGATTTCGATTCGACAAGCATATTCTTAGTAATTAAAACCGATATAATAACATAGAAAATTTTTCATATCTTTTAAAAATGATTTATAATTTTATATTGAACTTTATTTTTTATTACTACAAAAGAAATTCTCAGTGTGCCAATTAGTTGTGTTGTGCTGAGTAATAATAATTTCTTTTTCGTCGTGCAGCAGTGTATCGCTTATGTGTGACGAAAAATTCTATATTACATATAAAATTTTCGTTTTTTTCCTAGGTCGAACAGCAATCATGGGAAGATCAGATCATGGAGGAACGTAGTGTAGAAGAAATGAACTCTGATGAACCACCAACTAAATTATTAATAATGAATCGCAACGAATATCTACAAACATCGGAGCCCTCTTCTACTTCTATTTCAATTGCTTCTGCAAATGAAGGAAATCATAATCTTAATACTATTAATATTGGATTAAGACCACCACCACCTCTTAAAGCTGCTGTGAGAAATCGAGGACAATCTTTGCTTAAAAACAATTTGATTTCTTCTCATGCTCAAACTGGATCAGCTATAATCACAGATGAAAATAAACGCACAATGTGGAAATGTAAACGTTGTAATTTTCGACATTCCAATAGAGAAACTGTCTCTATTCACGTTAAATCACATAATGAATTCGAACGTCATGGAGATGAAAAAGTATGATCATATTTTAATATTTTTATTCTTTAATATTGTTTAATATTCAGAAAAATCAGAAAAATAATGTATTTATGATATGTACTTTTCTTTACAGAATGCATTTGGTTGTGAAGACTGTCCATTTTCTGCATCTGATGCAGCATCTTTGTCGATGCATAGAATTCATCATCGTCCAAACTTAGAAGCTATTTTTAAATGTTATTTATGTCCATATTATGTTAGCACAAAAGCGTATGTATTTACATTTCATTATTATCATTAAATATATTATAAAATATAATATATTTTTGGAAAAGATATATTTTATTCTTCTAGGGAGCTTTTAGATCATGTCAGACTTCATGGAGAAGAACTTGCCGTAGTACATCAACAAACTATGGACTATAATTTTTCTACTAAATCTAAAGTACATCGAGCTTTAAGTAACGACAGTAGTAAGTTGAAATTTTTTGTATAAATGATTCTAAATTTAATTAGTATCGTTTAAAAATAAATTATGCAAAATCTTTTTTTAGATATTAATCGCACAAAACAAGAAAAACCTGTAGAACAAGTAATTCATATAACAACGCAAAATAATGTGACTTGTTTCACCAATGCCTCGAAGAATTCCGGAGCACCACCGCCACCACCATTGCTCCTTGATACCCGAGCACTGCCTGAAGCTCCATTAGTATGGGTGTCCCGACCAGATGGTACACTCGCAAAAATGTTAAAATGTCGTCACTGCCCTTTTGTTCTTCACGACGCGCAGAAGTCCGAGATCATGAGACTATGCATCTTGATTCTCCCAATAATGGTCCCGTAGTTGCCTGTACAGATTGTAGTTTTACTTGTACACGACGAGAAGTTATGGTTGCGCATACAGATATGCATTCCGGATCTTTAGGCACTGTTCATTGTTTAGTAGATGATTCAAGGCCAGATTCACAGCAATTAAGTGATTTGGCTGCGCTTCTTGGTTTCACTCATTCTCCTATATTAGGTTCAGAACCTGATCTACGGGATTTAAGACTTGTTCATTGTTGTAGCAAATGTCCAGCACGATTTCTCTGTGAAAAGGAATTAAGAATTCATTTAAGATATCATTCTACAGAATTAGCTTATTCTTGTCAATGGTGTTCCTATGCCGCTCGACAGCCAGCTCATCTTTTAGCTCATCAAAAAGCACATTCCACGGAATATCAAGAACGCACTAAATATTTATTGTCTCTGTATGGTCATTCACAACGATATCCACCACCTACCACAGCTTGCGTTGAAGCAAGTAATCAAGACTCAAGTAATTCATCATCTACTGTCGCATGGATTGTAGTTGAAGTTACAGAAACTTCAAACAATGGATTTAATAATATCACAAATAATACAAATCAACGAACTGGAAATCAAGTATTTACTTGCGCCAAATGTCCAGCTCGTTACTTTAAATTAGATGCTTTAGAGTATCACATGACTCTACATGGATCGAACAATAGGTTCAAATGTACCGAGTGTGACTATTCATCAAAAACAGCTCAGAACTTAGTGAAACATCAAGTCGTTCATCGACGTCAAAATGAAACAAATGACTTAACTTCAAACTTGACTGCATCCCCTGATCCACAATTTGGGCTTTTTATGCGTGGAAATCCTAACTTTGTGTATCCTGGTTATTTGAGAAACGGTCGGTTAAAAGAAAAACGGTACAAATGTCATAAATGTCCATCTGCATTTGAGAAACGAGAACAATATAGAGTTCATTTGACATTGCATGGTGCAAAGCAGAGATATCGATGTGATACTTGTGACTATTCCGTCAAATATTATGCTAATTATATTCAACATTTAAAGAAACATCAGGCAAATGCTGAAGCACAAGCTTCACGTAGACAATTTGAAGACGACACGATTACTATTGATAGTGATATTGTTTCTGATAATACAAATTCAATTTCACGTTCAGGAAAAACACTTAAATCATCAAATAATACAACCTCAATTATATCTACAAATGGAATATCAGTGTTAAATTTTGGTGGAGCGCAAGCCTCAAATCAAGATAAGCAATCTTTAATGTTGTTACAAAAGAAAGGGGTACTTTTGTCTTCTAATAATGAAGTAGAAACATTACGATGTCAAAATTGTCCGTTTTCTACATGTGATAAAGATACAATGGATGCTCATAAACGACGACATGGCATTGAAAGAATGACGCCATCTTGTCCTCATTGTGATTATATACCACGAAAAGATGAAAATGTTGGTGAACACATTAGACTACATTTTACAAGACTTTATAAACCAGAATCCTATCTTATCATAGAATTATTAACATTGACAATGAGAAAAATAAGTTCGAATGGAAAGGAGGAGAAACAAAAGGCTGCCGAATTACTTTTTAAAGAATATGCGGACGGAAGATTCTTTCCCTTTACTGATACTAATTCCTTTGGTAGTTCTTCTGCTATGAATTACAAAGAAAAAGTTATAGTAGATCCAAATACGGGAGAAACAAAACATTTAACTGTTTGAAAAAAATTAAAAAATAACTGTATAATGTATATTTTTTTGTATATAATACATGTATGGTGTATCTTAGATATTTATGAATATTTTCTAGATTTCTTGATTCGATAAACTATAAAAAAATAATACGCAAAAATGATCATTAAACTCATAATATTGCTACATGTACAAAAAATTCGATCAATGATATCTATAATTGCTATTATTATTATAATAAACAACACAATCATAATTATAATCATTGAGATAAATATTTTTTAGCATCATATCTGATATATAATAATTAGGAATATTCTCTCTCTCTCTCTC